GCTGTTGTTTTTTTTTCTAATAATAGGGTAAATTTCTTTGAATGAATGAAACTTAACATCTCTGTAAAACAAATGTAAATGTATCACTTATCGTTATGAGTACCATCTATCAATCAATTCTGAAAATTGTGAAAGAACAACTGACATATCGATCCAAAACAATTTTTTAATCAATAACTAGAAAAACATCTATATTTTCAAATGAAATTATATGTCAAAAAGATTCCGCATTTCTTTCTTTGAGTTGCATTTAAGTTCTTTTGTGGTCTAACATTATAAATTCATCCATAATATATAAGGGGCATAAAAGAAATAGAAACAGATGCATGCTTTTACTGTACATGGGTTTGATTACAGAAGGCACAGGAGGTAAACAATTATATGAAGAGACAAAGAAAGAAGACAATAAAAATGAAAAGTCATGGTTACTATCTGTATTCAGCACTCTTAAAATTTATCTCTACAATGCGTCTATTTAAACGGTGTAATTTTGAGTCTGATATTTCAAAATAATTTGCCCGAACGGTATCACATTTTGTATCATAGAGCAGCATTTTTAATCATATTAAAAACGTGAGTATTTTAACTTCTCTGTAAAAAAAAAGCTCACTTTTCAATAAGAAAGTTTATATAAATGAATGTATTGTAGCTGGCTTGTAAAAAATCCGTGACTTTTTAGTAGAATATCAGTGAAAAATCCCGTTAGAATTGTGTTTACGAAATACAAAAGGCGCGTCTATCATGAACGTTTTTGATCAATATTGTTAGGTACTGTTTTAAATTGAGGAAACGCGTGCGTGATAAAAAAATGATGCGGTGAAATGGGTTACAAATAAATATCGATGCATTTGAACGTATCGAATTAAAACTGAGAAGTTTGGGCAGAAAATGTCCTATTTTATTCTCAAACTTGGCATAGAAACTCTGTATTTGAAAAACATGGCTTCATGAATGAAGATATAAATATGCCATTTCATTTAAAGATCCTCTTCTAGTCGAGAGCATTCAACCAAGAATATATATTATAAACTTCTACCTATTCATTGACAAAAATATTTTTTGATTCTCAAACGATTAGTTTACTTCAGTTTTAATTAGGGAAATGTGTTTTACCAATTAGAGTGTAGAAAAATATTTATAGAATATATGAAAAACAAACGAAGAATTTTAGGTCAATTTCAGATAATCTAAAGAAAAACGAGGATTTTTTGTTTAAACATGACTGATTTCGTAGCAACAAAACCCGATCGTTTTTTTTAGTTTATTATCAAAATTCACTGAAGAAACTATGAAAACGCTTTTAAAGCTCGAATGGAATCAATAAACGCGTTTAAACATAACTGTTTGTTGTCTTCCTGGATGATTACATTTGCTTTATCAATTTTCAATTTAAAAAAAAGCCTCATATTTGTTTATCACTGCATCGAGACTCTCTATGAAAAGAATAATTTTGGTACTCCGCATTGATAGCCGATTCAATTAGTTAAATATCAATCACAGTTGTTCACCGTCTATAGTAGACAATATTAACAAATATGTTTCTTGAAATTGTTTCTATGAAGAAAAAAAAACTTGTTTTGCATTTTGAAATAACTGAAGTCATAACTGAGAAATAACATCAATATCAATAATGATTTATATGAGATAGAGAATTTTATTGTGTTCAAATGACGACACTTTATAAAACAAAACGACAGTACTAGTGAGATGAGAATAGATCTTGGCATTTCATAATTCTTCATTGAGTAAATTTGCAAAACTACGGAAAATTAGAAAGAAATTTGTTTTGCCTGATTTATTTATTTTCATTTTTGCATCTCAAGTTAAATTCTAAGAAATTAATTCGTCGTAATTCAACGTAAAGAATCTAACCAAAATCTTTTTAATGATTAGAATTAAAATATAGGATACAATGGATGTTTTTTATTGTTGAATGTTCATATTGAATTATTTGAAAAGATGTTTTTATCAAAGAAAACGTTTTGTTGAGAAATTTTAACATGAATGTGTAAAAATAAAATTGTTTTTCGTGAAATTTTTAAGAGAATTGGATTCTCACAGTATGAATTAGTAAGTTCTTATTAACAGACAGTTCAAATCACTTTTTCGAAACAATAAGCTTAGAAAATAAAATTTAATAGAAATAGTACGTAGACATATCCATGGGAAGACAACCAGAAAAAACATGACATATTTTAAATAATTCTCCTTTCTATTCCAATGTGTAGAGCTGTTTTCAATCATCATTTTCGTAGAAAAAGGTTTTGGATTTCATTGAAAAATGATGCACTTATAGTCAAAAAACTAGTACTGTAAAATATCTTAAAATACAATTTTTTTTGATAAAGCACCAAAAGACGTCGATTCGTTTACCTTAATATGGCAATATTCTCAAGAAATGTACGATGATGTGTTTTGTAGAGGAATGTTTGTTCTACAAAACTTCATAGTCAATTTTTTTATTAAGAGTCTGACAAGATAATTAAATCTTGATAAATCATTGTGAATGATACTCATGACAGAAGTTACTAGTTATTTTTATGATGAATGCTGCGCACAGAATTTGATCGAAGTTCAATCATCTTAGACTCCTAATGAAAAATTGACTATGAAGTTTTGTAGAGCAAACATTCCTCTACAAAAAACATCATCGTACATTTCTTGAGAATATTGCCATATCGAAGTATACGAATCAACGTCTTCTGGTGGTTTATTAAAAAAAGTTGTATTTCAAGATATTTTACAGTAATTAGTTTTTTGACTATAAGTGCATCATTTTTCAATGAAATTCAAGACATTTTTATACTAAAATGATGATCGAAAACAGCTCTACATATTGGGATAGAAAGAAAAATTTTTAAAATGTCTTGTGCCTTATTCTGGTTGACTTCCCATGAAAGTGCCCATACAGAAATGCCGTACATATCTCTATCATTGGATTAAGAAATTTATTTTACTATGAAAAATTTTAAGAATTGAGACTGATCTCTTTTAGGGTTAGTACAGTGATGTCTTCCATGGATATTCACCCAATCTCCATCAAGTATCAGCAAAGTAGATATTCAAAAACACGGAGAGGATAGCAGATCTGGTATGAGCACCATGGAAATACAGATGTATCTAATTACACATAAATGATCTATATCTTGTGTATTGTTTATACGTGAATGACTCAGATCTCATGATATATATCCTATTCTAGTACCTAATTGACTTTGCGAAAAGATTCAGAAAGCAGATCTTATCAGATTCGTTAGTTTTAGACAAACTTGGATGCTACTAGTGGCGCTGAAACCCACTGTCAATGAGTGAAAACAGAAGTCGCATCGACATCGGTTCTCTGACGAGTATCCGTATATGAATTTCATCATTTTCTTTATATGCGCAATGCTGAGGTAGTCAGCGTTTCATTTTAAATATATTTTACAAGTCAAGTAGTTAGTAAAACAACGATCTTAGTGTTAACCATTCAAGCTAAGGTGTGCATGCCACTCATAAAGAAATCTTTTTAATAGCTACCATCAAGAATATACTGTGCTGGTCAAAAATATACGAGCAGACAATTTTTTTCCTGCGTTATTATTTTATAACCTTGAGCTTTTCTAATTGTTAGTAGTTTATCGTCTAGAGATAGTTGTGCTACATCTGAAACTGAAGTGAAATTTGCTGATTTAGAATGTGTGAGCTGAGAAAATGCATTTTAATATAAATTTGTATCTGTTAGATTTCTCAAGAAATACCCCAATCTTACTTAGATTTTTGGCCCTATAATTAAAAATAGACACGATATTACTTTTTCTACAATTTCAAGAGATAGAACACACTTTTTGCCAATACATAAGTGACTCTCGGAGCATAAGAATCATTCCATTAGAAAGAAAACGCCAATTCAATAAACGATAAGATTGCTGATATCGAAAATGGCTTCAAATTGTCTATTGCTAGAATTTAAATTTTAAAGTTAGCGTTCCTTTTCTGATGGAATGATTCTTAGGTTTCGAGAATTGCTCATTTTGTGACAAAAAGTATCTTCTATCTCGCGAAAATATCCAAAACAAAACAATCGCAAGTCTATTTTGATTTTTACGACTAAAACTCTAAAGTAGACTAGAACACCTTTTGGGTTTTTCAAAAGATACTAATATTTGTACAATCGCGATTTCTGAAGTCTACTATGCACAATGAGCAAATCTCACTTCAGATTGGAATTACGCCGCACAACAGAATGCGTATTTCTATACACATAGATTACTATCAATAAGAAAAAAAAATCATGACTTACAAGAAAGGATTGTCTGGTCTTATATTTTTCGCAGAAATGTAGGTCTTTCGACTCAAACTCACTCATGCCAACCTCAATAAAAAACGTGAACTGATTGTGCGAAAACGAGTTTCGAGTTATACATCATATCCTATTAATTCATATATCCGGAGCAATATTCTGTAGTTGTTGTCATTCATTGTATAATTATATGGAGAATAGATAGAACAAGTCTAGTTTTTTTATGCCTGGTATCAATCTCACAAATCACATCGGATCGGTCAGTATACTGACTTGACTGACCGGCTTAAAATCGACGCATTCTAGCTATGATGTAATGTTGATAGCGTGAAAAAATAAATCATAGAATTGTTTATACGGAAAATCTTGAACTTTCGTTTTGTAAAATTTCTTCTCTGAAGATTTCATAGTACATTCAATGTACAATCTTAATCAGGATCAATCGAAAGGTTACATGGACCTCGATGAATAGCGAAGGGAAGTAGAAAAATTTTAAAGGTTATATATCTGTAGAGCAGTCTGTTCAATCTATGATGAATAGAAATAGGAATAGAACACACCCATTAAAACCGATCTTAGATCAGCAAAATATTTTCTGGATTTTAGAATTGATATCATCTTCATTGTACAAAAAAGCAAAACTTAGAAATAGCGCGAAGAGCCCAACTACATTCTTAATAAATAATAAAATTAAGTTGTTTGAATAATTTTGTTAATTATGAGTGAAATCAATCAAATCGAAGAAGCTAAACCAACTGGTAACAATCCAACGCATGATCAGATGATGCGCCATTTGCATCGTGCTAATCAAATTGCAAAACGTGCATTGCAGTTTGGTCATCATCCATTTGGCTGTATTCTTGTTGCATCTGATAATGAAACCATATTAATGGAACAGGGTAATATTGATACAGTTAATCACGCTGAATCAACGCTTGCTCGAATGGCTTGTACAAATTTTTCATCAGAATATCTTTGGCGTTGCACACTTTATACGACATTTGAACCCTGTGCTATGTGTGCTGCTACTTTATATTGGGCCAATATTGGACAAATCGTTTTTGGTGCTACTGAGAAACGTTTACTCGAACTCACTGGTAGTAATGAAAACAATCCAACAATGGATATTCCGTGTCGTTATGTATTTCAACATGGTCAAAAAAAAATTGAAGTATGGGGTCCTTTTCCTGAACTGGAAAACGAATTCATCGAATTACATAAAGGATTTTGGAAAATAAGCAAATAGTTGCTTTGTCTGTTTCGTAGTTTATTCCTTGAGAAAATTGAAGAATGTTTATTTTTTAATTCAATGTTTTAATTATGCTTTTATTAGATCATTATTATTGATAAAAAAAGACGAAAAAGGTGAAATTATGCATTATTCATTATGCTGAACTGTACAATTTACTTCTGTTCCTTTTTTTTTAGTTGTTAGAGAGAAAAAAGAGTAAAGAATTTCAAATAAACATCTCTCTACAAGTATGCATGTGAATTCATCTAGTTGATAAACATGAACGAGGGGTGTCCGCGGACTGACGTTTGTGAATTCTCTCAATTCCTAAAAACACCAGCTAAAAGCGACATATTCCTCGAGGAACTGAGAACTGATCTTCAAGCACTTCGTGCGACCTCCTCGGTTCCTCATCGATTCCATCTCGTGAATAAATCACAATTCATTGCAACGACAGTTTCCAAACCACGATACCTTCTCATTTTCTCCCGTGGCAATCGACCACCAACAATCCCTCAGGTAAGGAATCGAGGAAATAACTAGAACTAACCGTCAATACCTATCGTGGGAACTGACACCAACATTAGCCATCATCATTCAAATCCCATAAGAAGGACACAGAAAACAACAATTACCACAGAAGGGTGTGGGTGTGGGTGTGTGAGTATGGATGTAAAAGTTGTTTTTCTCTTCACCCACTCCCACGTCTACAGCCACAGCCACAGCCACAGCCACACCCACACCCCACCCACACCCACACCCCCACCCCCACACCCACCCACACCACCCACACCCACACCCACCACCCACACCCACACCCACCCACACCCACACCCTGAATAAATAATTAGATGAAATTGAAGTTACTCGTGATCTTTTTTCGACAAACACTAAATGAACAAACATCAGAACCAGAAAATTATCTTTTAGTACAACAAATTAATGATTTGGAACGTGATTCAATTGAAAAAATTCGACAAACAGCAGATGAAGTAAGAAAATTATTACTACACTACACAGCTAAACATATTCCTGACATAGAAATTGAGTTGAATAAATTCACTGATCAATTGAGACAAAGTCGTCATGAAAATGATTTGGTTGAAACAGATTTATATCGATGGAAAAATCAACTTATTCAACTAAGTGATGAACTCAACAAACCATCAAATATTACAATTCGACAAGATTCAAAATCACTTGTGAACAGAATTTATGTTGATATATCAACTAGTAAGTGTTGTTCATATGTATAATAATTCTATAAAAGATAGTGAACTCATCTGAGAATGGTTCACATTTTGAAATTTATCTTAGTAACAATTGTATCTTGTCGATGAAACTTTACAAGTTCATAATATTTACATAAAACTATACTGAAGAAAATAACAATCGGAGTAGACTTTTGTAAGAATGTTATTGTGAAAAAATAGTTTGAAATAAATCTTTCTTAAAAAGAATTTGATATATGAAAAAACAGATTCAAAGAAAATATTACTTGCAATGAAACGATTCTCGTAAGTTGAACCTGTGAAAACAATCTATTCGGAGTATGTCACTGAAAATCTATCTTAAAAAATATCTTTATTGATTATATTTTACCGAAATATCATGTCTGTTTGATTCATATCTACGCAGTAAATTCTTACCTTGAATATGTCAGCCTAAAACTACTCAAGGAACTTTTCATAGTAGAGTGTGATCAAGAAAATGAATTCTGTATTCTATTGTCATTAATCAAGTTATTATCTTTTTATATTTTGATTCATTTTCAATTTATCAAAATTTGAAAAAGAATGAAAAAATTATGGAAACAGTAACTACGTGGAAGCTGACATAGTTTTCTTTTCATGATAACTCATCAAACTATGTTGCACTATTTATAAAATCAAAGTGAATGGAACTTTTCCAGAAGAGCTCACTGGAAGCAGTTAAGAAAAAAGTAAACATACGTGCATTACGTTTGATAATTATCTAAGAAACAATGAAATTTAAATCATATTGATATGACAAACCAAGAAGAGAAGTCCGAGATTGTCAGTTCGACAAATATCCAAATTCAATTAGAAGTTCAATAGAAAGAAAACTGTTATGATTAGTTATTCGACTATACAAACGGTGTAGAGTGAACCTTGAATAATGAAACATTCTTGTTGTAAATAAAGATATTTTTTCTCACAATTATGCTGAAGTCGATTGCACAGAATAAAAGCAAGACTTTTTATCATCATAAACTTCTGTCTTATTGTAGTAACATCATGCATGATGAAAACTAATGGTAACACAAGATGGTTACAAAATGGTATCACTGTTGCTGGAGGTACCCAAAGAGTGAATAGGTTAAATCAACTTTATTATCCATGGGGCATATGTATTCACGACGATGAACACACAATGTATATCGCTGATACTTTTAATCATCGCATTATAGAATGGAAGTATGGAGCAACAAATGGACAAGTCGTGGCGGGTGGAAATGGAGCTGGAAATCGAATGGATCAGTTGAATGTACCAACAGATGTGATTATCGATAAAGAGAATGATTGTCTTATTATCTGCGACCAAGGAAATAGTAGAGTGGTTTGATGGCCTCGTCGAAATGGCACAATTGGACAAACTGTCATCTCCGATGTTCGATGCTACGGACTAGCAATGGATAACGATGGGTATTTTTATGTTCCTGACTTCAAAAAGCATGAAGTTAGACGATGGAGAATAGGAGATAGTTATGGAATAGTAGTAGCAGGTGGTCATGGACAAGGTCATCGTCTCGATCAACTCAATAGTCCTTGTTATATCTTTGTCGATCAAGATTATTCAGTGTATACATCAGATGAGAAGAATCATCGTGTGATGAAATGGATAAAAGGTGCAACAGAAGGAATTATCGTTGTTGGTAGTCAAGGTCAAGGAAATGGTCTAGCTCAATTGTCTTGTCCCCGTGGAGTAATTGTTGATCAGTTAGGTACTGTCTATGTGGCAGATTGTGACAACAATCGAGTAATGTGCTGGTCAAAAGAGGCTAAACAAGGTACTATAGTTGTTGGTGGAAATAATGAAGGAAAGCAATCGAACCAACTCTATTATCCTCAAGATTTATCATTTGATCGACAATACAATCTCTATGTTGTTGATTATGGCAACGATCGAATGCAACGATTCAATATTGATTCAAGTTCTAGTTAGTCGGGATATAGAGAAACTTAGAATGAACTGTTGTGGGTGTGGGTGAAAAAGAGCTAGAAGAAGACTTATACTCACACTGACACCCCCATACTAATACTCATACCCACACCCAATTTTCGAACCTCAGTAGACTGTCAAGTAGAAAGACAAACAACAATTGGATGACGATTGAAAATATCCAACATGATTTTCTAGAGATTAGCCTTCATTAAAACCTTGGACGTTATTAATGAAGAGCAGTATTTAATTGACAAATAACTAGGTTTAATTGCCGATGCTATTCCATTGAATCAAAAGTACACGAGTGGATTACTGAATGAAGTTCAAGATCAAACGCTACTAATCCATGGTTTGACAACCTTTGTCTCTCAAACTTGGATAACTAATAAAAATTTCGATGACTAATGTTTCAAATGCATCAATCCTTTTTTCATAATTGATCTTTAGGCTATATTTCGAAAAGTATTACCGATGATGTTTTTATCAATGAAATCGACACCCTTATGCTCCACAGGAAACCTAAAAAAGGTCTATGGTAGAAATAGAGAACAGATTCGAACTACTTCGTCACATGTTACATGTAGTTATATTGTTGGGACTCATGATTCGTTAGTTTGACGAGATTTTTGTAAGCAATGATGAATGCAGTTTTCTAGTTGGTTGAACAGACTCATCTTTTTGTGAGCGTGACCTTATCTTTCAGAAAATGAAACAACAAGGCAAGCTTATCATTGTTTATCAATATATTTCTTCGAAGAAATCAATTTGTTTTTATTTCGCATTACATAAACACAAGAAATGATCGAACAGAAGGAGAGCGAGGAAAAACGAAGAAGATAACGATTTTGTTTACATAAAGAAAGAACAAGACAAAAATTTAGTAACCTTCCTGGCCAGATACTTCAGTGAACTTTTCGTACTCAATTAAATCGTTCTCGCCTACTGTTGGTTTCTGTCTGGCCAAGGCAGCTAACATATCAGACTAAAATAAAAATATTAATAAGTTTTTCTCTGTCGCTTGACTTTGTATAATTCTTACCATGATCACCGGAGGCTCAAATAAGTCATCACAATCAAGTTCATCAAATGAAATTTCTTTCGCATCAGGATCGTCAGGTGAACAAAGAAGCCACAGTTCAGAAGGTCCATCAGAATTGGGATTTTTCACCTAAGTGACAGTTAGAAAGATAATGATATAGAGGATAGACAAATGTTTACTCGTTTGAAATGAGTTGATAAACAAAGTCGTCGGAGAGGTCTGAGTAAAGCTTCTCGACAAACGACAGCAATATCAGCACCAGAGTAACTATAATTCGATATTGAAATATCACAATCAATACCGAAACTAAAAACTTACTGATTAGCTTTTTGACCTAATTCCATCCATTCGTGATCTTGGATTTCATATGGTATGTCTGTACCTAAGTGATATTTGAACATGGCCGCGCGCTCTTTCACATCAGGTAATGGAATATAAATGCGCTTTTCAAAGCTGAAAAATTCTCAACAAATCATATTTAAGAAAAATACAGAAAAGAATTGTACCGTCGTCGCATGGCTATATCCAATGCCCAAGGAATGTTAGTTGCCGCAAGAAGAAGAACACCTGAATTGTCTGCTCCAACCCCTAAATAATCATCCAATGAAATTTACTGAATTCTTCGTATAAGAATTAGAGTGAAACAACCTTCTGTTTGAACAAGAAATTCAGTTTTCACACGTCTTGAAGATTCCGATTCTGTATCATTACGTTGACTACAAAGTGCATCAATTTCATCAATGAATACAATGCATGGTTGTCGTTCACGAGCCAGTTCAAATAAACATTTCACACCTTTTTCACTTTCACCGAGCCATTTTGAAAGCAGATCTGATGAGGTCACAGATATAAATGTACTTTTGCATTCTGTAGCAATGGCTTTAGCCAAATAGGATTTACCCGTACCGGGTGGCTACAATCAGATATATATATATAGAGAGAGAGAGAGAGAGACGATGCAATCAATCAACAAATGATATACTCACTCCATAAAGTAAAATACCAGTCCATGGTTTACGTTTACCTAATATAAAAGAGTATACATCATTAAATAGATCTTTTGATTTTCACAATCGCATACCTCTGAAAAACTTTTTCAATTTAACAGGCCAAATAACGGCTTCTTTTAATGCCTCTTTTGCTTGTTCCAAACCAATGACATCGTTAAATGTTACTTTTGGATCTGCAACGATAGCGCCTAAATTTCAATACAAAAAAAAATAATATTTTCGTAAGAGAAATAGTAATGTGAGTGAACCTTCAAATTTTTGTTTAAGTTGTTTATAATCTGAATCACTACTATCACTATTGTTTTTATTATTCCTTGCATTTCCATGATCATTGCATCCATCAGCAACTTGCTTTTTCTTCAGAATCAAATCAATTTCTTCTGCTCGTTTTATATAACTCGCTATTTTAGGTCTTATTGTTTGTTTTAATTGTGCATTCATTCCTCCGTCTAAAGAACAAACATTTGTTGAATATAATTTGGAAAAAATAATCTATTCCGTTCATTCACATTTTATTGCTTGCATGAGCCAATGAGCTGCTGTCATATAATGTTGTACAGCAGCTTCATAATTGTGTGCTTTATCTTCTGCTGTTGCTTGCTCGGCATTTTGAATACCTTTCTATTAAAAAAAGTAGAGAGTATATTGAACAAGCAATTATAATGATAGATGAAATATATTACCTGAATATAATCACTTTGACCACTGCTCATCGTTTTTTAACGACGATAGAATACTACAAAAATAATCAATAGATGAAAACTTTTTAAATACTATCAAAGCAATCATTAACTGTTCACACAATCTGGGAGAGTCGCGAGTTCAATTACGGATATAGTACTTGAATTTTAAATCATTGTTTGAAAGAAAAAAATATCTATAGACAAACGTGGTTTTTTTTTGTCGTCATATATGGAAATCTCCAGCTATTCATTATTGATTTCCACATTTCAAAAATGGATTTTAGATATGTACTCGTCACATTTTCACAGTCTGAACAAGCTTTTCTCAGAGACGATCAAACATTCAAGTTAGATGAACGGTTGGTTAACCGAAATCGTGAGTCAGGTGTTGAGAAGGAAGAGATGATAACCTGTCGACTGAAAAGTAATAAATCGGCAAACTGTGATTCGTACCGTCAGTCGACTTAAAAATTGTTTAACTATGCGAATAGTTCATGAGAGAACATAGTCAACTAGTAATCACCAATCGAACTCATTTCTTGTTCACAATTTATTCACGTAAAACTAGCGACAATAATGCACACAAAAAAAGAAACGAAAACAAATATATATTTGAAGAAAAAGCAACCAATAAAATATCTTACTTGATGTTGATAACAAAGCAACAAAAAAAAATCCCACGTGTTGTTAATTTTTCTGCATATATCAAGCAAATCGAATCCTCTACTACGTTCATCACATCTCTCGCGTTAATTGTTAAAAGCAGTAAATTACTTAATCTACCATTGACTAACAAAAATGTGTTCGAAATAAAAGCGTGCAGAGTCTCCGTCAACGAGATGATAGTCAACCAACAGACTCATGCCGGAACATCATGAAAAAGCACATTTACTACGAGAAGAACGACATTTCATACAGAGAATGAAATGAGAGAAAAATACGATTACTAATTTTGCATGTAGAATGGCGCAATACACAATGAGTCATATCCACTGGAAAAGAAAAACGAAGCGAATAAAACCAGGTAAAGAGACAACACAGTGACAGACATTACTAATAGTGTATTGTCGAAAATAAATCTGTTGCGTTCTGTTGAATTATACAACAATCTTCTTGTCTAGGTAAGGAGAAATTTTTTCATCACATTTCTCTCTGTCTCTCTTATAACAATGTTACACATTGCACAACTCAGCGGAAATGTGGACTTTGCATACGAAAGAGCATGAGTCAATATTGTTTTCAGATGATTCATACACATTAATTTCAACATTACTCTCTCCATATCGATTCATATTTTATTCAACAGATAGACAATAAAAAAATAGATAATAATACACTAAAGGAAGTGAAATGAAAAAATTTCACGTCAACAAAAAAAGATTTGTTTGTTTATGGCGGATTCATCCTATATAAACGTCTGATCTGAACTTGAAAATTACAACATGAAAAATTCGTTTTCTGTGTGGACACTACGCATCTATGATAAAGGAATAATTTCGCCAAGTCCGAAACATAATTTATTATAATTGAATTTCGTCTGCAATACGCATAATCATCTTCTTCGCACAAAGTCCAGTTCCAACGTTATCGAACGACACGACATATTCGATGGGTAATGCAGCAAGTAGCACTAAATGTTTTGCATTTTTCTTTCGTTTGCAACCTACTCATCATTGATTCTGCATCGAGTAGGAAAACTAATGATGGAAAGTATTTAATAAATCTGCAATCACGTGTGATTTTCTTTCAGTGTTACAATGCGTATTGAATGACGTATTGTAAGAGTGAATCAATGTGCCAACACCGAACTACGAACGAAAAGTAGACTAAGAAGTTATCGAGATGTTATAATCTGATTCTAATGATGGTAAATGAATCTAATTTCAGTTCTATTGTTTCAATATTTGTCATACAATAACAACGAAAGATGATCAAAATTCTATCTGTTCAGCATAAAAATGGTACACTCGAGGTCACTATTTAACAATGTCGTTAAAATTGCCTAGATAAAGTTTAATAGTTGGCATAGATTTCGATCTTGATCGAGCGAGAATAAAATAAGATTTATATTATATCGACGAAAATCTTTTGATGTGAACAAGTTTTCTTTTATTGTTTTGCTATATTGTGAAATAATAAGATGATAGGAAAGAAAGTATCTTGTCGTTAAGATACTGAAAATATGATTCTAGGCTTATCATAAAGGATTAATCTTTATTTTTTAGAGCACCGAAATTTTTTATATACTATATATCAACAATTGTCTAT